GTACTTATGCCCGGATGTAGGGCAAATTGTTAAAGCCGAGCACTGTTTTTAATTTTTTTTTTCAGTATAAGGTGACAAACAAGAAAGCGGACATCGGAATTTACCAAAATAGTCAAGCAACCACTGCCCAAAATGCGAAAAACAACAAATGTTTAAAAAATCAACAGTGAAATCACAAACTCTCTGTTTTCTAATGCCGAAAAAACCTGGCCGACGACCAACAAACTTACGAACTGTTCAGAAAATTTTACAACTAAGACTTATATTGCGAAAACTTGACCACGGAAGAAGAGAAAGAAAACGTTTATAACTTCTGACAAAGAATATTAGCAACCTTTAATATAAAGGAGCAAAAATGCATGTTATATTTAAAAATGGAACAAAAGCGTTTAATAGAAACAAGAATTAAAAAAAGTCCTGCATCCTACAATTTAATAAAACATTTCACAGTAAATTGTTTACCTCATTCTTGTCGCAAAATAATTAAATATGGTTAAAAGTACAAAATAAAATGTTAATAGATTCATCATCGTGATTGTATCTTAGTTGACGGATGACGTAGTTGTGTTTTCTATTTTTAGTCTGTGCTAAAATTAAAAACAACTAAGAGTTCAATTAAAGGTCAGTTGTTTTATCATAAAACTCAAAATAATCTGCATAAAACGGGCCTCAAGTGTCATATTGTTTTTTTTATCGACAACAACGTCGCGATCGATACCGGCCATCATTATCTAACGCTGTTCATATTGTTACAACAATGTGATTGTCAGATATTTAATCTGTGGACTTTTTTTAGAAATTAAAACGAAAGAACCTGCACTAAATTAACCTATTTTGGTTAATATATGCCGCAGTATATTTAAGACATAATAAACCGAAAAATAATGTTCGTTTTGTCTATTTTTCCAATTAGATTACGGAATAGTGACATATTTTGTAAAGTTTAGTTGTCCAGTGTATAATAGTCATTTGAATTTTGCAATAAATAATTCCAAGAAATACTGGAGTAAATATGGAAGGTAAGTGTTAATTTATTTTAGAAAATGCAACTTCCTTCTTTGATTAAAATTGTAAAGTGTAATTACAAAGTAAGTGAAGTGAATGTTAAATATCTTGATATTTTAGGAACCCAAGGTATAATAAAACAGAACATCTTCATAGTTGAAGAAATACATTCTAGTTTTTATAGCGTGCTAGAACAGACATTTTCATGCAATTTGCATGTCTTCTTTTTGTTATTATAAAAATTAGAATATTTATTTAAAATTATCCATCTTGAACTCAACTTTTTATATCTTTGACATGTTTTCACATGGTATTCAAGTTTTGAAAACTTGTTCGACTCACGGGAAGGTAATTTTTTGCGTATTTGAGATAGGCAAGTAGACATGAAATTTTACGGTAAAATATAACGTTCTGTTGCATTGTTTGCCTCAAATTTATATTTTTCTTTGAAGTATTGTACCGGCGGGATTTCACTCCTGAAACATCGAAACAAGTACATATTCTCGTCCTACTTAAATAAACTGATATAATAACATTTTATATCTTTCAGCCATGAAAAATAATAGCGTTTTATTGAAATTTTCAGATGTATGCAGTAGTTTTTGATATTATTAGGTACAAAGGAACAATAAAAGCGTTTTCTTTCACAAAATTAGCATATAGGACTAGCGCCCGGTTTGTCCCGGTGCAGTGTCAGTGTTATTTAAAATTTAACATGGGTTCTACTTTTTCTCTCTTGAATAAATCGTTTGGCATCATTTTAAAATATTTTGTATATCGTCTTCGAGATACTATTTTCTCCAAATAGTTTAATCCCTTACATGTATACTACTTTTAAAAATATACGCAGAAAACCAAGGGATTATTGAGTGCAGGCTATTATCTTATCTGTTATCAGTTCAATATGATCGCTACTCCGCCGCGCCGTACACCTCTCCGCTCAGTTCAACATGTAAACAAAAAAGTTCAACAAGAACTTGCTAAATTAGGTTAGATAAACAGCTTCACGAGGCTCATACTCTCGCTAATAGTTTCGCACGGTCAAGGGCGTGCAGCGATGCAGATGTACGACGAATACTTATCAGTCAGGTTCATTTTAACGAAGTGTTGTAATGTAGCGATGTTAGAGCGGCGGCGGC